AACATAAATGTACAGAGAAATTTCTAAAAATTATAATTTTCTCTGAACTTAAAATAAAAGTCCAACGACATCTACAAACTGATATTCACCTTCAAGATGATAAAAAACAAAATCACAGAAACTTAATGAATCATAGAGAAATTTACTGCTAACAATTAAACACAATTATAGAAAAAAAATCACATAGAATACGAGTCCAGAGAAATACTTTTCTCTGAACTACAAACTGAAAGTGAGTAACAAACTTACAATTTTCTCTGAACTACAAATACAAGTATAGAGAAATTTATGAACTTACATTCACTTTCTCATATTCTATCTCCATTACAAACTTCTAATAATATGTCCATATGCACTTATAATTTCCTCTGGACTACACAAACAATAGTGCATAAAATGAAATTTCTCTGGTTTGAAAAAACATAGAACACAACTTATCATTCATCAGCATGTTGATAAAAAACAGAGCACCAAAAAATGAACTCTAAACATCAAAATCACCTACACTGTCAACACTATCTGAAATTGATCAAAAAACAAAGAATGAAAAATTAATTCGAAAAATAAAAATCAACTCTATCAAGCTGGCCTCTCTCTAAACAAAAATCAAAATCCATTTGGAATCTAAATCGAAAACAAACCTAATTCAACTCAACTCAAAAACCTACGCGATCAACACACTGTCAACATTCTTTCAAATTGATTAAAAAACAAATAATAAAAAATTAATTCCAAAAATAAAAATCAACTCTATCAAGCTGGCCTCTCTCTAAACAAAAATCAAAATACATTTGGAATCTAAATCGAAAACAAACCTAATTCAACTCCACTCAAAAACCTACGCGATCAATACACAAAAATTCAAAACAAATATCAAAATGCATGTGCTATCTCCATCGAAAACAAACCTGATTCAACTCCACTGAAAATCTACGCGATCAATACACTATCACACCACTGAAATCTCCGACGAAATCTCCAACAAAATCTACACGATCGTAGCAATCTTTCTCGTCAACTCCACTGAAATCTCCGAAGAAATCTCCACTGAAATCTCCGACGAAAACTCCGACAAAATCTCCCCTTCAAATTCGGTTTCCAAAATGTATCAGTTAACTCAACCATATAATATTCAAACAAATTTATGTTATAAAGGAAGGGTAATTTAGGTACTTTATAACCTAAAATAAATTTGAGGGACCTTAGCCATCAAAACATATTATAAAGGACCTCTCCTCATATCAAAAGTAGAGGAGGGACCTTAGGCCAATTTTCCTTTAAAAAAATTAAAGTAGTGAGTTATTTAAAAATAACAGATGATTGTTTGTCAAATATATGATTACCCTTTAAATCCTGTCCCATATCCAACTTTATTTTAATTATTCATTAATTGTATGGTGTTTTTTTAAAAAAATATATTTAGCCTTCGTTTAGAAAGAGTTAAAATAGTCTGTCTTTTTGATTTTTTGGCTATTTTATCTTGGTTTTTTCAGCCTTGTTTGGTTTTTATTTTTAGTTTTTTTTTTTTAAATTTTTGTGAAAGAAAAAATATAATAACTATAATCTAAATGTGATATTTTATCTTATTAATTTATGTAACAAATTTTATCTTTTATATTTTTTAGCTAAAAAGTCAAAACCAAACCTAACTTATTAAGCCTCCGTTTGGGAAGTGGGTTGGCTTTTTGGCTTTTTGACTTTTTTGGCTATTTTAGCCTGGGCTAAAAAGTTTAGTTTGGGAAAGGCTTTTTGGCTTTTTAGCTTTTTTGATTTTTTTTGTGAGAGAAGAATGTAATGATTATGGGTTGGATGTGATATTTTGTTTTTTGTGGCTAAAATAGCCTATTTTATCTTTTATGGTTAAAATAGTCAAAAAAACCTTGTTTAGCTCTTGCCAAACGAAAATTTTAGGAGCAAGTTTAGACATGATTGGCCGTAAGGATAGGCGAGTCAGGTTGCCGCACAAGTTCCCAAATTTTGTTTAAAAAATTAGCTTTCAGCTATTTTTAATCATATTCGTAGTTCATAAACAAAATTTCAACAGCGCTGCATACACCCAGTGGGGTCGCGCCCCCAGTGACATGGCGCGCCCCCACTGGTTGAAAACTCAAAAAAAAAAAAAAAAACAGTTTTTTTTTTTGGGCCAATCTCGGAGTGACACCTCACTGGGGGTCGACCCCACTGGGGGTCGACCCCCAGGGAGGTAGGAAGCATTTTTCACAAAATTTTACCTAAATAATTAAAAAATTGAAGTAGTGAATTATTTAAAAATTATAAATGTTTATATATATTATTGTTAACTATGCTAAATCCATGCATTTACCAAAGGCATTACTCCAGTAACTAAAATAACTTTTTTAGCATTTAACCAAACGCATCATTATTTTTAGTAATAATTTAAATAAATAAATAAATAAAAACTTTTTTTTAAAAAAAATCATTGGCAAGGTCATGTTTGTTTGTCCTAGGATTATGGGAAGGGATTAAATCTTATCAATTTTATAATTTAACTAATTAGTTTAAACATTTCCTTAACTTTTATTTAGTATCTCACTTTTCTCTTGGAATTTTATAGCCCACCATATATAGGATATCATATATTAATCCGAATTTTAATTTTCTTACTCAAACATAAAATTATGTATTTTATTATATTATTAATCCAATACTATAAACATACCCCAAAACAAACATGAGTGCCTCATATCATTTGATAAATATAAACATTCAAAAAAAAAAAAAATCAAAATAACATTATTATTGACAAAATAATTGCAACTCAAGCCACTCCATTTGTTTTGTTCATGATGGGATGAATAAATCACACCATCACTGGCTTTTTCTAATATTAGGAATTGTTTTAAAATTTTGGTGTTTATTTTTCATGTTTTTTAAACTAAAAATAATGAAAAATTTGAAAACATCAAATTTATTTTCTTTTAATAGGAAAACAATTTGTGAAGATCTCTTCTTTATAAAGGAGTGGTTTTAGACAATACTCCCAAAATCAATTTTTTGAAAATAATTTGCAAAATAGTTTTTAATGTCAATTTCAATTTTCTTCTATTTTTAAAGAGGACTGATTAAGACCCTCTCAAAACTTTCACCCCCACACACGGGGGGTTGGGAGAGAAGAAAAATAAAAATAAAAATAAAAAATAGACCAATCAAAAGCAAAAAGGGTCAAAGGGGTGGGTTGAAAAGGGGATTTTAAACATTTTTTATTTTTAAAATTATAAAATAGAAAACAAATTAAGAGTGTTTTGTAAAGATGGTAAAAAGTTAACTTTTGACTTTTTATCATGCTTTTTGACTTTTTTGAAAAGTGATTTAGGAAAGTAATAAAAAATTGCTTTTGATTTTTTTTATTAATATTTATTTATAATGTCACATCACAATAAAATGACCAAACTATCCGACTCAATTTAGAAATTTTACATTTTCACCCATGTATAATCCTAAATAATATAAAAAATATAATTATAATTTTATATGTAATTTTTTTTCATCATATCAAATAATTTTTTTGTTAAAAAAGTCAATATAACTTTTATGGAACCAAGCTACAAACCCAATTTTTTACCATGTTGCGAAATAGGCACTTAATGTTTCACTTTATGCTAGAGGGTGCGTGCATGTGAAGGTTTCAATCCCATCAACCAGATTTGACAAATGAAGCTTAGTGTGTCCTAATTAATCCCGATCATTTTGTTAAATATTCTCCAATTATAATTATTTTATTTTTTTATAAAAATCAAAAAAATTAAAAAATTTATTTTAAATGAGACTTTTTAACCGCAAACTAAAAATATCAAAAAAATTAATTCACGTAAAAAATAAAGATATAATTATACTGGGTTCCTCTAAAATTTTAGATCATATAATATTATTTCATTTTCATCAAAAATTATTAGTCGTATAAATAAAAAAATGATGTCGTCATATTTTTTACATTAAAATGCATATTTTTCTTAGTGTATCTTTGTGTCTTTAATGTAATTATGTAAAAAAAGCAAAATTGTTGTATTTTTTTTTAATAAGAAGACAATGTAATTTATCTTTAATTTTGAATTTCGTTAATGCGTTTAAAAAATTATATGTATTTTTATTAAACTAACTTTTATTTGGCATGGACAGTTTTTAAAATTTTCTTACTATCTATCTTAAGATCACATTTGTTTGGCGGATTATGTTAAATGTGATTGAAGAGAAGGTTAAGAGATTGTTAATGCAATGATTATTAGTGAGAGAAATAAGTAAAAATGTGTTTATTTTAATGATAGTGTGAGAGATGGTTAAATTATTTTTATATAAAATAAATAAAAATATTATTTCTATATTAAAAAATTAAAACAAAAGAGTGTTTTTTGGCCGGGCAACTATTTTGTTTAAAAAAAATTTACACTAGTCCGATCAATTGATAGAACTTCTTGACAGATGACTAGATAAACTCAATCTGTTTACTATTTTTTTAATCACAACCATACTAATCTAACCTTTGAGAAGGATTGTGAATCCAAGTAGAGTGCTAGTCCAATGCCTACATGAATCAACCAAACATGAATTTATGGACCCAACAATTATTTTAACCCAATCCCATTTTCCAAGTGCCCAAACAAACGGGAATTAAAAGCATTCAAAAGGTTAATAACACCCAAATAATAGTGAAAAATACTAATGACAGCTAGTTATTAATCTTGATATATTGTGTAAAATATATATATATATATTGTAAAAATATTTGAAAAAAATATCTTAAAATTATAAATGCTTTGACTATTTTGTTTCCTTTCTTATTATCAACTTTAAGACTGTCATTAACCTAACATAGTTACCGAACATAGTTATGGATATAATATATCATCTTATCTTATCAAGATTATGCAACTTTCTCGAGAAAGTGAGGAAGTAAATATACACTACCGCCTGAAAAAGAAAATGAAAATAAAAATAATTATTTACAAGAAAATAAAATAAAAATCTGGTTTATTTTGTGATCGTGCGTACTTGTGTTGTGTATGCTTCTCAATTCTCTTGCCTTCTTGGATTCTCTCCCTCTCTCTCTCATCACTGATTGCCCCTTTTTTTTTTTTTGTTTGCTGATTCTGCACCAAAATCGATTGATGGGTATCGCCAAACCCTTGTTGTTCATTCGAAATCAAGGCTCACATATAGATATTTCCTTCTTTAACCTACTCGGGTCGATCTTCTTCTTCACTTTAGCTCACTCATCACACAAGATTTAGAGAAAACTCTCTGTTTATTCACTGTTCTCTAATTCTCATTCTGTGCTTATCTGATGTGCTGAAACTGATTTTTTGTTGTTTTCACTCCACATGGGATTGGGTTCAATCTGTACTCACCAAGATACACTTTTTTTTGAAGAACAACAGTTACAGCTTCCATGGAATCACGATTGGGTTTGATTGAACAATCGTTCAATCTTCGATACTCTCTTTACGTTCGCGAAGTGCTCGATGAATTGCCTGACAGTTTCACCATAACTGACCCTTGCATTTCAGGCCACCCAATTGTGTTCGCTTCTTGCGGATTCTTGAAAATGTTTGGTTATTCGAGTGACGAAGTGATTGGGAAGAATGGGAGGACATTTCAAGGACCCCAAACTAACCGGAGATCGGTAATGGCGATTCGAGAGGCCATAAGAGAAGAGAGGTCTATACAGATCACTATATTGAATTATCGAAAAGATGGGACACCATTTTGGATGTTGTTTCATATGTGTCCTGTTTTTGGTAAAGAAGACGGGAGGGTGATTCATTTTGTTGGTGTTCAAGTCCCAATTCAGCGAAAACAGAGGCGGTCCGGTTGTGGGTTTGGGAGGAATGGGGTTAATTTGTGTGAAGATGGTTCGGGTTTTCGCGAGACGGTGCTTGGGTCTTGCAGGAGGGAGGTGTGCTCGGATTCTGTGGTGGAATCGAATCGTGTGTTGGCTATGGATTTTGGGCTGGGGTCAGATGATAGAGGTTTGTCTTTCAGCTTCAAATTTGTGACTTGCAAAGCATGACCTCCTTTGATTGGTAATCCATATTTGGTTGAACTTAGTTGTTCATGCTTCTGATCAGATCACCAATTGTTATGCAATAGCGTGTACTCTGCAGTCTATCTCACAAGTTTGTGTTTCTTGTGATTGCTTATATGAGTTGTTATCTCTTGTGGTTTGCCATTTCATAAAATTTCTTCATGGGCATATATTGACTTACTTCCTTTTGGATTGGGTGATTTGGGAAGAAAAGAAAGGAAATGCATTTCTTTTTGTTCACATCACCTGTTTGGATTAGTAAAGAGAAGAGAAATGAAGAGGAACACATTTCTCTTATAACTTTCATTTTGAATCTCTCCAAAGGTGGAGAGATTGAGAGAAAAGAAATCAACAAATTAGGATTTTTTCATAATACCAAAACTGCCTCTTTAGATATAGAATAAGTGACACCTATAAATGGTTATTTTGTTGATATAACATGAAAAGGTTTCCTTTCTTTTCTGTAATTTAACCAAACAAGGACAGAAATTATTCTCTTTTCTCTTCTTTCTCTCCTATTTATCCAAACAAGAGGGAGAGAAAACACTATCTTTTGTCTTCTTTTCTTTTCTCTCATAGGTGTCCAACCATATGTAGATATTGCATTCATTTTATCAGTTGTGTTGCATAATTTTTTTAGTTTTATTTCCACTATTCTTGTTTCTAGGTCAGCTAAGGTTCTTATGGACTGAATTTCTACGTACAGAGTTAGAAATTGACGAGTTCTGTGAGGCAAGTGATCTAGAAAAGGGGAAGGCTGAAACTGCCATTAACAACATCTTGTCTATGCTAACCCACTATAGTGAGTTAACAGGCAATCTAGTGTGTGGGAAGAGATGCTGCTTAGCCAGGACGGGCCTTCTTGGTTCATCATTAATTATATCTCTTGGTAGAATCAAACAAAGCTTTGTATTGTGAGTTGTTGCAAATTCCTAGCTTTTCTTGTAATGCCTTGGTTATAATTCTGCTTTACTAAGCTTGTCAATTTATATGCTTTGTGTTTCGGCAACATATGTATGTTGCCTTGCAGAACTGATCCACACCTACCTGACATGCCCATTGTGTATGCGAGTGATGCTTTCTTAAAACTGACAGGTGCTCAAGTTGTGTACCAAATTTATGCTGTTATTATCTATTTGATTCATCTCATATGGGACATTTCGTAATTCATAGGCTACGATTATGACATATATCCGGTTTATATATGCATGGAACTGTCAACTAAACTTATTCATTCTAATGATTTTTAATTTTTCTTTTCAATAGGATATGCTAGACATGAAGTTTTGGGTCACAATTGTAGATTTTTAAGTGGTGTGGATACAGATATCTCAACCATATTCCAGGTGGTTATTCTCCATTTTAGCACTTTTTTTAATTTTATTTTTTTTATGGCTTTAATTAATGAAATCCACTATTGTCTTGGCCTTGTGTTAACTTGCCACTATGGAACGGATAAAGTGGATTTAGTTCGACTAAATGACAGAAAAAAGACGGTACGGGGATCGTATTGAATTTCAAGTTGGCCAATTGTTTTGCAGATAAAGGAAAGCATTCAAAGGGAGCAAACATGCACAGTACGTATCTTAAATTACAGGTTGATACTTATCTATGCTTCTAATTATTTCATGAAGGATCTGCATATTGCTTTTTGGGTTTAATCTCCACTTTTTTTGGGCATTTTGTTTTCACTTCTCAGGAAGGATAAAAGTTCATTTTGGAACTTACTTCACATTTCACCAGTCCGGAGTGCTTCTGGAAAGGTAATGTTGTTTACATGTTAACATTCATTACTTATTCCTATTGTCTGGTAACTGAATTTTTGTTTCCTGTCATTAAGTCTGTAAATCACAATCTCGTTGTTGCCAACTTTCTATTCCTTTTCCTTCTACCTTTTTTTTAAAATTAGAGATGGTGGGTAAAATGTAATTTGATGTAGCAATTGTCAAAGAAGGAACTTTTTCAAATGAGGTTAAAATTCATCCCCCCCCCCCAGTCAAAAAGAAATATATATATATATCATTGGTCCTAGTTGTTGGTAGAAAGCGGATCTCTGTGACCAATTTATCATAGACAAAAAAATTTAGCTTTGGGGTATAGCCATTTACACATGCAATATTTCTTTTTTCTTTACTTTTTTTATGAAGTCTGAGAAAAACCATGCAAACATGACAATTCAATCTTGAGTCTGAACATCTTATGTAATTGGTTGACAATGTTGGACTTGTTTGTGTGCTTGACAATTCAATCTTCTTCTTTTTTTTCAATTTTTCCTCACATCGTTGTGTCCATTCCTAGCTTTTGTTATTGCAATGCACAGTTTTGCTGCAGTTTTGTTATCCAATTATCAAATTGGAAGTTGTATATGTTCATATATATTCACACAATTCTGAATACATCTGAAAATATGATAGAATTTTTGTTTGTGTAAATGGTTTCTACATCGGATTCTGGTAGGGTAATGCTTATGATGTGGGATATAAATGTCTATTGATATTGTTAGAATTTCCCATCTTTACCTTCACCTACTCCACTACACACTCCACTTCACCTACCTCCACTTCACCACACACTCCACTTCACCTAACCCACTATCACCTCCACTACACCTACTACCACATTTTCTTCTATATATAGATTGTATAGGAATTGTAATTAATCAATCTTGGAATACATCAGAAATCAATCAAACATCAATCAATAATACAAGAGTATAATACAAGAGTTTTAACAGATATGTAATTATTTATATATACATATTTGTAATTATATATATACGTATTTGTAATTATTTATGTTAAATATGTCTTTCACTATAATCCAAGTCAATAAACTTGAAACATTTTATCTTGGCTATATTGCTTCTAGTAAATTGATTTTATGGGAGAACCTGATATGTTAGAAGAAGCTGAAAATTGAAAATCGCATCAAGGAGATTATGATAGATTATTTGGTGTTCAGTAACATGACGATGCCTTTAATTTCTTCTATTAGGAAAAAAGTTCCTAACCCATTATACACACATGGAGAGACATAAAGTTGCAATGCTAGATAGCATGAAAGGAATCAAGGCACTGGCAAACTGATAAACTCTCTCTCTTATGTGTGTGTGTGTGTGTGTGTGTGTGGAGGTATTGCACAATCACTACCCTGGAAACAAGTTTCAAACCCTGCACTAAAGTTAAAAGGTGTTCCTTAGATGCGCACTAGCATAGTTGTTTGTTTGTACTGGTGCCCATGCATGCATGCAATTGTCTCCACTCTCCCATTGTAGCTCCCCCCTTGATCATTTGACTGGTTGTGGCGAAGATTGACTTTGGTATCATTTCGGTAAGTGCTGAAAAGTTACCAGAGAACTTCTATTACTATTGGGGCCGAACTCTATTTTTGTACCAATCTGTTTGTGCTCCATTAGTGACTGAAATTTCCCTTCCTGTTATATACCTCTTCATCTCCATCTAATCATCAATTCCTTGTCCTATTTGCCAAGAGAAAATTGAATAGTTGTTGAAAAGTTGGAGGTTGGAGCTTTGGAACCATGGGAGTGTTATGGAGTTGCATTTAACATCAATGATAAACTACTCAAATAGATTTTTCTAGTACTCATCTTGGTAACTAACCTTATACTTGCTTTACATTTTGGGGAAAAAGATTTTGTATCCAAGAGAATGACTGACCGGGTTTTGAGAGGTCACACCATTTACGTCCTGATAAAATCCTAGGGGGGGAAAAAAATTAGTTTCCTAGGATGTCTGACCAAATTAACATATGGAAAACATGAAAGTTGAAAGTTGCATTGAATGTTCAGATGGTTCTTTGTTTCTATTTACAATTCGTATTTACTCTACTGTGGATACAGATGTACCCAATGCTTTTTGTTTTGTTTTTGTTCTTTTCCCATACTCTATTTGGAACCCTAACATGTTCCAAGATTCCAACAATTTCTTCTCGTTTTCTCTGATTTCCTAACAACCAAAATAGACTCATAACATATAGCATTTGTATTTTAACTTATAAGACCACATGAATCCCATGAAATTTGGTGAGCTTTTACTTTGTTGACCCTATGTTTTTTAATTCTCTTCCTTTTTGGCGTTTCATTACATAACTTGCACAACATTTTCCTTGTCTTTTATTGTGCCTGTGGATGCAGATAGCATATTACGTGGGGGTTCAAATAGATGAGAGTTGTAAGAACGAGGATAAACATGGGCTGAGCCCTGAGTTGAGGCAACATAGTGTTGTGGGTGCAGTAAAGGTTGCAGTACGGAGTTTGTCGATGGGTGTTGGTACCTCCAACTCATAGGGACAACTTCCCATATATTCTTTGCTGCCGATGACAGGTTTTTCTGAATAGTGTATTTAATATTTTCAAATATTTCATTTGTAATGTCAACTAGAAGTTAGGTTGGAGGCAGAACTTATAGAAAGATTGTTATATAGCTTAGTGCTTGTTAACTTACACCCTTGTAGATAAAAATGAAAAACATCTTTCAATTTGTAGAGCTGAAACTAGCTCATTCATGTGTTATAATTTATTAATTAGATTGATAATACTGTGTTGTTGCTTGGATTAAACAGATTAATTGATTGTGATGATTGATTGATATAAATGTTGCTCATATTATCCCAACTTAATCTTATATATAAAATTCTGCAGAGAGTCGTAGATTGTATGGATATGAATTTTCATGGTTCGACCAAAAAATAATCCAATTTTTGACTGCTATTGCTTGTGTTGAATATTCCATCCCCACCCGAGCTGATTAATCTCCTACATAGCCATGGCAAACATTCAATTTCTTGAATTTTTCAAATTTGTTGGGGTAGTGTCAATTTTCTTTTGAGTATTGCTATTTTGGCGTTTTCTCGCAACCAATGGGGCTCTTATTTCTGTATCTCGCTTTGAACTCTTTCCAATCATAGTGAAATTACATTGATTGTGAATGTAACTAGTTTTATTTTCTTTATATAATTTAACCAAATAAGATAGGAGATAAATCAATATCTTTTCTCCCTTGTGCAATCATTTCTTTTATTTTTTCTCATAGGTTCCCAAACATAGGGTTAATTCCTGTATAGCTATGGATTTAGCTTTTCCCTGCATATGTTTAGTTGCAGGGAAAAGATTGATTACACTACTCATTAGCTTGTTAACAATGTTGTTCCAAACACCTATAGGCCTCTCATGGTTGCACTCACAACGTGGTGCTCCTTCAGCAAAAGTTACACTATAGTTTATGTGAAGTCTTTTGACAACGGGCCTCAGGTGGCTCATGTTTAAGGACAAAATAAGAAAATCAACAATCCTTGGAGGGGCATAATTGTCCAATCAATCCTTTTCTCAAAATTCTGTCATTTTCTTTCTTTCCTTTCTTTCTTCTCTTGTTTTTATTCACTGACCAATTCTTCTTTCAAAAACAAACCCATGACCATTGGGTTTCTCAATGTTACAGGGTTTCAATGTGGCCATGGTATGGATCTCCTCTTTCTCCCTCTCTCTCATAAATGTGAGTAGTGGTTGTGATAAATTTACCACTTCATCTTAGAAATATGTTGTGTGAGGGTGTACCTGGTTGTTTTCAGGCCTATTTAATAAATAAATGGGTTTGATTTGAGAATTGTCTTTAAACCTTAGTTGCACGAAGCGGGGGCGGGGGCGGGAGCAGGGAAACGTGGCTATCTAGAGGAGTCCTAAATTAGGAGCTCTAATGTATTATTTTTATTAATTATATTTTATTTACTTCCATCAAGGAAAATAAATAGATTTCTTTTAAACAATTAGATGATTTATTATATGTTAAAAAGTTAAGAAATAATTGTTAAAAAAATAAATAATAAATAAAAATTATATTATATATGATAAAATAAATAATTTTTTATTTTACAAATAAAAATTATATTGTTTATGATAAATTATATTATAATTTATAATTTATAAATTATATTATATATATATATATATATTATATGATAAATTATATTTTTATAAAACAATGAAAATAGAGAGGGAAAGATAAAGAGAGAGAGAGAGAGAGAGAGAGAGAGAGAGAGAGAGAACATAATAGATCGAGAGAGGGAGAAGCAAGAGGCGCAACAGAGATAAAGAAAGAGAGAAGCAGAGACAAAGAGAAGATCGAGGGTGAGAGGAGAGAGAGAGAGAGACGAAGACCTAGGGCTTCGAAGAGAGGGACGAAGACTAGGGCTTCGACAGAGAAGTCAAACGGCGAGATCGAAGTCGTCGAATAGAGGATCGAAGCCAGCGATCAGGTACTCTCCTTGCTCTCTCAATAGTGCTCCCTTCTCGTATCAGATTCGCGTTTCCCTCTCCTCAGATTCGCGATTCTGCTGCGATTCTTCCTCAGAAGTGCAAAATCGCGCTTTTTCCTCGGAGTCGTCGCCATTTGAAACGATTCCTGCTACTAAGCTTTAAACCTAACCTAACTGACCCAATTACTTAATAGGGTAATGCACCAATAAATCTCAAAATAGGAACTTGTGAACCATTTAGTCCTGTGTTTTATCTTATAGACTAGTAAGTCCCGTTTTATATAAATTACTTATTTGACCGTGATGTTAGAGCGTGAAGTGTGTAATATGTGGGTAATTTAGGAATTGAACAATGCTTCAATTACGTTAGTACCCCAAAACCTTACAGTAGTCTGTTTTAGTTTTCCAGCTGTTATGATCTTTACGAAAGAGATGAATGTGGAAAAAAGTATATTCCCAATGTTAATGCATTGAAATGGGTTTTATTTGATGTTGCTGGATTTGGTAATGTTGACTCGTCATTATGTTTTCTAATTTGGTGTTTGGGTCATTGAAACCCTAGGAATACGAATCATGTTTTGGTGTAATCGAATTGATTAACGTTGGCGATGGTTTCCAGCGAGTGTAGTTCCTCAAGGTCTGTTTGGTAACGTTTACGTTTTCAGTTTATATTTACAAAAATTTTATAAACTGGTTTTTGTTTATTTTTAGAAAAACATAAACTACAAACGCGTTTGGTGGTTGAGTTGTGATAAAATGGTGGATTTTATCTTTAAAATTGATTTATAAAGAAAATGAGATTTTATCTTAAAATGTGACTGTTTGATTTTGTAAAGAGGAAATGGAAATGATGTTGGATTTTGTGAAATTAGAATGATGACGATGATGATGGTAGAGTTGGATATGCATTGTTACTCCCATCTTGGACTTTTGGAAAGTTTATCTTTATTGGAAGTTTTCTATATGTTTAGAGATATCTGTTTTTGATTATCGGTGGAGGATAGCTATGATTATTGTAGAAATTGCATGAGAATTAGGAGAGTTGAAACTAATTTCTCATTCATTTGCATGAGCATTGTTGCATACTTAACACATTGAAAATGTATATTGTTTTGAGAAAATGGATAAATACCTTGGTGAATCTGGGTAAGGGGTGTGGTTGCGGTATTATGTTAGCCTGTGTGTTCTTGGTGAAAGTCTGGAAACCCGTGCGGTTAGGTGCCTAGCATTCTGATTAGTACCAGTAAAAATGGCAATTAGTAGTGCTTGTATAGCCTACTTACAGACACGTACCTAGATATTTCCAATGTTGTATCCACTACCTTGTTTTATATTGTAAAGGAAATGATTTCATGAATTGTGATATAATCTAACATTGCATAGTTTTAGAAAGACATATAAAATGTTTGACATGAGAATTGCATTGAATATGCATTCACTTTATGACTTTGTTAAGATTCATGCACTATGTTAGAGTATCTTTACTGGACTTTGGCTTACCCTATGTGGAAAACCAATTTCAGGTGTTGATGATATGATGAGTGGTGGTAGCAGGTGATGGTGGGGGGTGGGTGGTGGTGGTGGTGGCGGAAGACGGTGGTGGAAAATGGTGGCGGGTGGTGGCTAGTGCTGGGTGGTAAAAAAAAAATGCTCAAAACGGAAACACCTTTTTTAAGTTTACATTTTTTGGCCAAATTTATAAACCGAGACCACTGATTTATAAATCAAAAATTTTACCAAACAAGTTTTTATTTGAATTTTTAAAATTTTTGTAAATATAAACAGAAAACTGAAAACGCAAGTGTTACCAAACAGCACCTCAATGTTTGGAAGGCAGCATTGGATTTGTTTTGTAATGGAATCAGGTATGGGGTTCGTTTGATTGACGAGGCAATTTTTTACCAGAATGTGTTTGTCTGTGTGTATTTGTAGTTTTTTTTTGTTTTTTGTTTTTGTTGTTGGGGTAAATGATGTACGCGTTGATGTTGGTAGTATGGGTAAACATGTTTTTTTGCATATATGTTGGTGTGTAAATCTATGAATGCAGCGTGACGTTGATATGGGGTAAATGTATGAGTGTAGCGCACTGTTTAGTTGAGGTTGGTTGGGGTAGTATGCGCTGTTGACAAGGTTTGAGTTTGTGTATATATTAATATATAAGAAACGTTGAATGTGGGTGTGATGGGTGTGGTGTTGTGCAGCATATAGTGGTTGTGTGCACGGGGTTTGAAGAAATAGTGTGTCCTATATAAAATTTGTGGTGTGGACTTTTATTTTTTCTGACGTGCATGTTAGTGTTAGAGTGCAATGTCAGGAAGGGTTGAGGGTAAGTAATGGGTGGGGGCTTGGTAATGGGAAGTTTGCTGTGGTTGGTAATTAGTTGTTGGTTGTTGTGCTCTGTGCTCGATGTTAATGTAAGCAACTGATTGTAACATCATACATCAGTTGTAGTGGCGTGTCCAGGATTCCATAAGTGTTGGTTCCTGTAATTTGGGTTGTTTAATTTCAGTGGTGTAATATGCAAGTGTTGGACCGTGCGATTTGTCAAGTGTCAATGGAATTGTCGTAGTGTGAATGGGTGTAATGAGCGTATGAAATTGATGTGTACTCGTTTTTGGAATTAGTTTTCAATGTTAAGCCGTAATAACCCATTATGCTTTGTTTGTTGTTGTGATGTTATTATCATTCCACGGAATGAAACAGGGACGAAATGTTACATTGTGACATGGGTAATGTCATTGCTGGTGGGCGAATTTTATTATAAAATGAAGAGAATACCTTCACATACAACGCACAATGCAACACCGGCGCGGGACAATCAACGCATTACCAACACCCTCCCATTGATGCACAACTGATTCCACACTTTACATTACCCAACATCAACAAATACCAAATGGAAATGTTAAAAATTGCCTCCTACATTGATACCCAAACATGAGTGAACAGAAATCTCCAAAATCGGCCCACGTCAACACGAAATGGAAATGTTAAAACTTGCCTTCCACATTGCCATCGAAACATCATTTAACAGGATTCTCCAAAATCTACCACAATGGATAAAAATGTAAACTCCATCCACACCCTACCAATTAAAAATATTCCTTATCATCAAAATAGGACCAGATGGTGCATAAGAAAACACACAGGACTAAATGGGGCAACATTCCATAAATTGGGATTTACCAGTAATTTTTCCTTATTGGTATATTTTATATAATTTATTTATTTTTGTTTTTGTTTGAAAAAAAGCAAGAAATACAATAGGGAAAATACACCAACTAAA